CCTCGATGTTTAGGCTGATTCTCTTGAGGTCCCCCGGAGTGGGTTCTGGCGCCCTCAGATCTGCACTCACTGCCTGCATCGGATCCTGTATGGATGAAAGCAATACTTTAAGTACAATTTAAAGGAAATCTTTGCCTTTTCTGGAGAATATTGCGACGCCAGAAGGCTCAAAAGTACAGAAAAGTCATTGCCTCCTTTCTATAAATAGCTATTTTCTTTTTATTACATGAGTGCTTGCAAAAAATGCCAGGCAGCACATCAATATTTCTCCTAAATGGTGCAGGATTATTATTCCTACATTCCTCACCTGTTTTAGATTAGAGAAGAAAAAGATAAGCTACAAATGGGATGAATGTTATACTGTATGTATCGGAAAACGGCAAAAGAGAGAGTTATCAGCACTGATGTTCACAGAGGAAGGAAACACAGCACAGATCAGATGGAAAGTAAGATTGAGGCGTCGACCACAGCCTCTCACCGAATGAGCCAACAGGAAGTCTCAAGTAGGACGTGCTGGGGTCCAAAGCAGCTACCTGACCTCTTTCTCTAAACTCGCATTGTTTTTGTGTATTTAATAGATTTAGAGCTGTGTCATTTCAAGTTGAGACGCCACAAACGGATGCTAACGCGAACACATCTGTAGCCATTTCAACAAAACGAGGAAAAAACGCTTTGTACTGACTTGTGATTGTTAGAAAGGGTCTGTCTAAATTTGATTCAGCATGCAATACTTTTTCATTTCAAAGAATAAGCTAACAGGGGTGCTAGAGCGAACTGTTTTTATTATGAAATATATTGGAAACTCATAGCTACCATTGCTCTCCAGGACGCTGATTCACAAACATAAAAATATGTATTCGACCATCCTAATGTATCTTCATACGGCAGTTGATAAGTTGGTTGTATTTTGTATTTTCTGACTGAGAAATTAGAGAAGCAGATGAGGCAGACAGTGTGAAAGTAATGTGAAACTGAACATGATATAACAACTTCCTTATCTACCTCTCTGGTTCTAAAAGTACGACTGCAATTTACTGAAAGTAATGTAAAAGGACTTCATCTGGCACTTAATGGCCATCTTGTGAATCAGAAATAATGGTTACATTTGATCCTGGTTAAGGATAATTTGATGCAGGTAAAAATGCGACTCAAATCAGGTTTGAAGCATATTTATGACCTCTCGCTCGCCATGTGGTAATGGTTTCCTCTGTAAACCAAACATACTCAGACAGTTTCTCCTTCCTTTCCAAGCACCCTCAGTTCAGCCAAAGCAAATGACGCTCCCAATGAAACTCCACCAGACCACTGCAGTCCTATTGTGTGTTTAACAAACGTTATATTATACGACGTGTCACCATAGTGTGCTGCCAGTACTCACTCAGTGGATCACAGTTCAATACGGTCAGAGCCCAGAGAGGGGGACAAGATAGAGAATGAAGCACAAATGTGGAACAAATTACAGCTCAAACAAAGAATGTCTTCTATTGGCAGTCTAACTTGGATATCCTGATGAGCAAAGCAATCTTTTTTATTCCTGGCTGTACGTCCATTTAAACATCTTTGATTATAATGGTGACGCACCTTACTTTCTCTTAGATCAAGATAAGGTTTGTATAAAAATCTCAACACAAACAAGCCTCAGTTGACCCATTAATATACAGTGTTCCCTCCACACCCATCCAAATCCAAAGAGATAGCCTTCTGGGTGGGAGTATTTAAAGTTGTATTACCCCTTATGAGGATAAACAACCAAAAGGTCTTCACAATATATCATCTTCAGTTTTTTCATATTGCACAAAAGGAGTTAACCTTTCTTAGCCTCCAAAAAAACCAGACAGATAACACGAAACAATAACATATTTAAAGGTTTGCAGACCAAATAGAGGCTAATAAACTTGCATAACTTCATAAAACTTTAAGATTTATGAAGTACGACCCATAAAAAAGGGCAACTCCTGATTTACTGTGATACCTGGCAGGAGGAAGAAGGCATCTCCAGGGCCAAGAGGGTGAGATTACAGCCAAAGGTTACGTAAATGTACCAAAAGAATATGAAAGCAAGATACAGGAAACATCAGGAAGCTTTTAATGTCTGTAGATCCACTTACCAGTTGGTAACAGGGGCGATAGTTCACGGTTTAGTGTCTGCGGGGCGAATGAGTTCATACGGAAATGCTTTGACGGATAAGTTCACCCACTTCCTGTGTGTGTGTTGCAGCTGTTTACCTTTTTGACAGCATAAGGAAATGACAAGTGTTACTCAAAACCCGCCAAATCATTCTTCTCTGTTGTCATGAGGTCAAAATGATGAAGAAAAGAAGATGAACGGCCAAGGAGAAGTCATCAAGTCATCAAGACATCTTTTGAAATGCATTACTTTTGTGGTTTGACTCCGGTTTCGATGAGCTGATCGTGTGTGTGTGTGTGTGTGTGTGTGTGTGTGTGTGTGTGTGTGTGTGTGTGTGTGTGTGTGTGTGTGTGTGTGTGTGTGGTGTGTGTGTGTGTGGTGTGTGTGTGTGTGTGTGTGTGTGTGTGTAGATCTCCATGACACCCTTAATGTAAAGTCCAAACCCAACCCAATGACCAGCAAATCCTAAGATTTATGAAACAATTCATCACAGCCCTGATGGAGGAGACGTAACAAATCTGGTTGAAGCTGCTCTCATGTGAAAGCATTTTGTGTTTTGGATGATGTAAACAGGGAGTGGAGGTGAAATAAAGCTGTGTTGTAAGATGACATCTCTCTCTGATGACTTCATTACAGCCAGACTGGACGGTATGTACTGCCGGCCTCCAACGCTGCAGTATTGAGATGTTCAAATAAAGTGAACGTGGGGGGACTTTTTAAGTACGAGTGTTTTGTTGCACATGCAGAGGGGGAAGACGTATTCAGATGCTTTAGTTGAGTTAAAGTACCAATACATTATTGTCAAAATAAGTAAAAGTCCTGCATTCAAAATCTTAGTCAAATGAGAAAAATTGTATCAGCTAAATGTACTTAAAGTAAGAAAGTAAAAGTAAGCAGAGTGAAGAGAAATGGCCTTTATGTGTGTATATAATTATATACATGTGACATTTCTAGATAATATTGTTTCATCAAGTATACCGTTGTAGAAAATCTAAGTTTTGATTGACTTGATTGAATAATTTGACTATTCTGTGAATTAGGAGTTCGTCCACTAGTTTAATTTTTAGAGTTTAATTTTGTTCAAAGTAGCTAAAGCTGTTTTCATAAATGTAGTGGAGTAGAAGTATAAAATAGCATCACATGGATATACTCAAGTAAAGTAAAAGTACCTCAAAATTGGGTAGGTAATTTTGGAGAAACCAGCTCGAGTGAGCTAGAATTTGAAAATACACAACCGGAACAAATCTGCCACTTCCTCACAACACACACGAACGCGCACATGACCAATGAGGGCACGAGATAAATTTGTGCACGAGATGGAAGGCTGACAGGCAGGTAGGCCATCCAGTTACTTTAGCCGGCTCAGATGATTGGTCGTGCTTTTTACAGAGATGACATTTTTGTATATATTTATTGTCAAAGCATTTAATGTATTCATTGCTATCGGGATGTTAAGAGCATTCCATGGAATATAACAAAAAGGGTGTTTCTGAAGTGAATTACCTACCCCACCTTTAAGTACAGTACTTGAGTAAATGTACTTAGTACTTCCCACCTCTATGCACATGTACGTGTAGTGGAAAAATAACCAAGGTATGTTTGTACATTTTTTGATGTTTAAATGGACTGAATTTAAAGGGTGTATTCAGAGATGACGCACTTCATGTCAGAACAAAAATGAAAGAAATAATCTTCTATGTATTTTTTCGCTTAACAAGACCGAGTTACACTTTATAATACTTTATTCCCGTTACTCAGACTAGTATCACAGCTGAATCTCTGCTGGCTGCTGGATGGACGCTCGCTGACAGCTTCCCCCCGGTGTCCGTCCTGAACCTGCACTCTCTCAAATGTGGGTTTTCTCTATTATCCAAACTGTTGCTGCAGTAACTGTGTGTTGCTGAATCCCCAGCAGGCCCGCTGTGCTCATTCTGCTCCAGATCAGGAAATACTTTTCTCAGTGTCAGTGAGCTCATTGCTCAACATGATCATTTAAATAGATTTTAAGGGTCATTTCAGTCTCCTGTGGCTTTCTTAAGACAAGTTATTACATGCTAGACCTGCACCACGAGGGCATATAAAAAATAGAACACTTAAATCCTCTACAAGAATTATGACTTGCTTTATTCTGCGTGTTTGTGAGGATGTTATGCCACATAAACGTCATGTCTTATTAACAGTTAGAGGGAAACTATCAGTGCTGCTTAAATGGGATCCCTTGTGGACTCTTTTGCTTAAAATAATTGGGTTTTCATGTAGGCCTACTGATAGTCTGTATTGGAAGGGAGCCTTGTAAAAAAAGGCTGTAAAACAACATGTTTCCTGCCGAATACCTTTATAATAAATTACATTTAAACAATCATTTCAATTATTCTGCAGAAATTAACATCTTAAAATAGTTGTGGTCTAAACAACATGGTTCTATATTTTAAAAAACACAAATATTTTCAAGGGGGCTAAAATGCAGCATTACCTCCATGTCTGTTGTGTATAAGTGTGGTGTGTGTGTGTGTGTGTGTGTGTGTGTGTGTGTGTGTGTGTGTGTGTGTGTGTGTGTAGATCATTTGTATTTATCCTACATGGTATATGTTTAGGATAACATAAACTGTTCATGCATAGTAAAGTACAATTACCCTAAAAGAAGAAAATGCGTGACAGAGTTAGTCTGCACTTGTTTACATAACATATCTATGTCACGTGTCTGTCTTGAAATAATCCCCGTCAGTTGCGTCAAAGGCTCTCTAGGGCTCTGCTTCAGTCATGAGTAAAACACATAGACTGGGAAAACAACATTAAAATATCTACCGTTTAAAATGCTATGGGTTGTTAGGATGTTTGAAAATCCTCCAAGGTTCGTTGGATTTGTTTTTTCAATGAAGTGAGGTGAGCGGGGTTATCTATAAACTTACTCTGACATTTTGAAATGATCCTTTTAAATGTCATAGATCTTACTCTATAAATATTTTTAATATAATATGCGAATATATTCGTGTATAATGGGATATTTTGTAACGTTTAATAATCGAAACATTCAGCGGGCGGAGCCGTTATATCAAAACCAACGCTTCTTGGAAACGGCATCCCTAGCGAGTGTGTGATTGGTCCGCCCGCTCAAATTCCAGCCAATGAGAACGGAGCGCAGGAGATTTGAATTCTCAGCTCAATCACTTCTGTTTGAGCTCTCGCTTCTGAAGGACTACAGCAAACCTGGACTATTTACAAGAGATAAAGAAGCTGTATGCGGTGTTTAATGCTCCTAAACCCAGCCACTGAATCAAACGAGACGGAATTGTTAAACACGGTAAGATTAAACTATAATATGGACGATGTTGAGCTTAGTCACGTGTGGAAACCCCACCCAGCAAACACAGAAATACGTAAACTAAGTTTTACAGCTTGTTATCTGCAGCCAGGTAAAACGGATAAATATGAAATACTACACCAAATGCAGCCTGACTTTTCTCCTTTGAAACCAACCCGCCTTTTTTTTTAATCTAGCAGAACAAAGTGCAGAGTTTGTTAAAGGAGCAGCCATGCCGGTAGTAAGGGGGAAGAAACCAGCAGTGACTGCTGGGAGCAAGATGCCCAAACTGAATGCAACAACGAGGGAAAACCAGGTAAACTGTGCATCTTTTTTTGCATAAATAACCCCCTTTCCTGCAGGAGAGAGGCTGTAAACAAAGCCAGCATTGCAGCAGATGTTCCTGCATGACGCCTGCAGGGCAATGTTTAAAATGGCTTGACATGCTAAACAATATATTTTGTGTGCATTCACGGGATGATTTTATCGTGTGTTTACAGTCCCCTGTGTTTGTGTTGCAGATGGAGGGCCCCCAGGTGAAGAGGGCCTCATCCCCTCCCCATGGAGCCCCCAAGAAGAGGACTGCTTTCATCGACATTACAAATGTGAGTCTGGCTTGAGGTTTTTGTGGAGAGAGAAGCACTAAAATTCAGGGTATAAGCGATTTAAACGTAGAAGATGAAGCAATGGATTCCAGGAGGGAGACCATTTGTATTCTCTCACTTCGTACATCGCAATACATAGTGATGATCTGTTATGGTGCATGAGTGAAATGGTCCTGTGGTCACATTTTCAGAGATGACATGGCTTCGAGTGTATCTTTTTATATATATATATATATGTGTGATTAAAATCAAAGGGCGCCTTGCTATTTCTCCACAACATATGTCCTATTTCAGATCCCACACACACAGGAATACAATAGCTTGTGTCTCTAAAACTGGATGAACCACAACATGAAATTGATTTTTGGCATTTAGTCACTGCTGACCTGGAAAGTACTTCAAATGTAAAAGTGTCAGATCAGTCAGCGTGCAGCCGAGCTCTTTACGACACAAGTCCTTGACCTTCCAGCAGTGATTGTTTTTCTTAAAATATAAGCATGAGAACAACAGGGTCTGTTTCTTTAGCTGCTGTCTGTATGCAGAATGATCCTGGTTCAATTCTGGATGATCTCCCACTGTGTGCCGTCCAAAGAAAGGCTATCAGTCAGTCTGTGTTGGCCCTACGTGACCCAGGTGACTTTGTTTGACAGTGAGAGAAGCACAGCATCAACAATAGGGCTTGATAATGAGTACAACAGGAACAAAAAGCCATATTCATGTGACAGAAAAACGCCTCCGCTTCCAACATTGTGTCTGACTGCTGCGTGAAATTTCAAATATTTCAAGTCTTATGTATCAGTCATCTAACTTGACCCCCTCCAGCAACCTGACTGAAACTCTAATCTCTACTGTTTACATTTTGAATTTACACCTAGTGTATTGGTACGTTTCCTGAAAGTGTCTCTCTGCTGGCCTCTGTAAATCAAACCATTACTGCACTCATCAGGAGGTTAAATGTGTCGGCAAGTTTAAAAATAAGTCACCTATTGCTTCAGTTATCACACCTCAACAGGATGTGTACACTTATAACTAAAAGGTGTGGGTGTCACTTCATCCCTTGGTTTTGAATGAAGGTGTCACCTTGCTCCCAGTGCTTCTCCACTGAGGTGTGAATTGATGCGCTCTGCACCTCACCTCAGTGTGAAACCAGCTCCATGTTGGTTTGCCATGTTGTGAGATTTACAGCTTGGCATCTGTGAAATGGACCGAATCGGTGATGATGTGTTGATGCCAAAGAATGTGATATTTCAGCTTGGGCCATGAACGTTTTTTGACTAGTTTCTCAAAGTACTTGACACTGATCCCGAACATATTTTAAAGATATTCGGACATCGCCATGTCATCCCTTCTAGAGGCGGTGATTTTATATTCCTAATGTCTCTTTGACTGTTCACAGGCTCATAAGGTTACGATCAGCCTTCCAGGGAGGAAGAAGAAGAACGCGGCGAAGAAGCAGGCGAAGAAAACAAGCGCTACTTCAGTGTCGACGGAGAGCCATGCAAACCTGGAAAAGTCTTCATCTATGAGCTCAGAGGGGACTGTGACGGAAGAACAGACTTATAAGGACGAGGGGCAGGGGGCAGCAGCTCCAGTAGAAGAGCTGGAGGCTGCTGCGCCCCGGGCTGCGCCCCCTGCTGCCCCGGAGGTGCCGGCACACCTCCTGAAACAACAGGTGAGGGAACCCGGAGAAGCTTTGGACTTGTTCTAATGTCTGCAATAGGGCAACTAACTCAAATGTTCTCTGATCTCTAGATCCCAGTGGAGTTTGACATTGACTCTGAGAACTCTGAAGACTGTTACATGTGTCCCGAGTACGCTAAGGACATCTTCGACTACCTTAAACAGAGAGAGGTGAGACAAAAACTCTGTTACTTAGTATTTAAAGGGGACCTATCATGCAAAACGCACTCTCGTATGTCTTTTATACATGAATACGTGTCCCCGGTGTGTCAGGGACCTCACCAAGTGTCAGAAAACACAACCCTCTCTCTTTTCCTCCATACCCAAATCTCTAAAAAAGGGTCTGGAACGGATCTGATACAGGCTGATCCAGATTTGAATTATTTTCTACGTCACAAAAGGGGTGTTCCGCTTAGTGGTCAATTCTCCACCTATCAGGGGAATGTGGGGTTGGGCGACGGCCGGCCATTGCTGCTTGAAAGCGCTGGAGACGCTGTAGTACATATGCCAGGCCTGTAAGTGGCGCTGTAGTCTGCCACAAAAGCAGCGAAGCAGACTTCCCGCGCATGGTTGCCATGGTTGCCCTTCTGTTTATTCTCCGCTGTGGCTCTTTTTCTCCCTCCCCGAGGCAAGCGTTTGCGCCTCCTGCTTTAAAACAAATGAATAATGACTCTATATAATCATATGTAAGCGACGCGGTCATTATGGGGAAAAGAACACCGACAGGCCGATCAGGAGCCCGACGCGAAGCGGAGGGATCTAGATCGGCATGAAGGCACATTATGCAATGTGCACGTTATCCCGCTTATTACATGGCCACATTCTCAACAAAGTAACGACATGACTCCCAATATTAATTGAAATGCTTTTATGGATTTAGAAAATGATTTTATTGATTTAAAACATAGTTGTATGTATTTATTTAAATTGACATGCATCCGCTAAGAAAAATAGTTCGTTGTTACCGTTTGAACTAGCGTAGCAACGGCAGGAACTGCTTCGATAGCGTTTTGAGGAGCTTTTTGATTACAGATTTGAAAACATCGTTGCTTGCTTTAAAAGTAGCACAATTCATGATGTCAAACTTTGGAAAGTATCTAGATATCCCTGCCCTAATGCCAAAGTAACTGCCAACTGAATATGTGTCGCCGTTTGATGTCTATGTCTGGACCGCTGCGTAAAAAGGAGGGTTTCTGCCCCGTTACTTCTCTTCTTACTTCTATAAGAATAAAACACGGAGGACGGAGATCTATTTTTCTCCCCCTCTTCTGAGAGCCCAGCAGCTGATCTCAGAGCATGCTCCCCTCTCCTGCAGGGGGGGCGTGGTCAGCTGCAGCTCACAGAATCAGCCCCCTGCAAAAACAGCGCTGGAAAGAGCAAATAGAGCGAAATGAGGCATGGCTAAAATGCAGGATCTGTTTAGTTTTTTTTCAAAATACCAATCTTTATATACTTTATATAGGTATGGCCCTACAATATATTGTTCAAATATAGCATGATATGTCCCCTTTAAAGTATCTTTTAATGCAGAGGGTAATCTTCCCCCTCTTGTGTTTTTATGGTCTGCAGGAGAAGTTTGTCCTCTGTAACTACATGCCCAGTCAGCCCACCCTCAACCCAGAGATGAGAGCCATCCTGATCGACTGGCTGGTGGAAGTACAGGTGGGTTTTCCTGCTAGCATTTCGTGCATTTGCAAGAATAAGTGATTATATTTTAGAATGGTAAAGTGAGTGAGGGAATCCATTTGAAAAATCGAAGTAAAACCATTCTCGAGGGTTCAAATAAACAGCAATTGTAAGTAGTGCTGCGTACCTGGACTCACATTCAGGTTCAGGTCTGGACTCAAGTCCAGAGGTTCAGGTTCAGGTCCGGACTTATAAGTCCGGACCTGAACCCATGGCTTGTGTCAAGTTGTGTGAGTAACTAAAGTGAACTTATTGTGAGCTAATTATCAATTGAAAATTAACTCATAATCAACTCAAATTCAAACCCATCAGGTTTATTGCGCTCCCTTCCAACTTGTGTCTACATTTCTCTACAAAGTACAAATGTAAAAAAAACACTTTTTGCCACTTAGTCTACAAATGACTTATGACAGCAACTACAGTGAACTACTACAAAGTTCAAACATTTATTTCATTTACCAAACTAAAGTAACCAAACAGTCCCTGAGCTGCCTGAGCCTAAATCCCTAAAACGTTGCTGAAAGGTAGAGTGTAGAGTAGACTATACGCATTACACTGTTACACACCTACTATACAGTATAGGCTACACTGTAGTGACTGACTGTACAGTCAGAGTGTACTGTACTGTCTGTACACCATGTCTTTTCTACAACTCTACATGTGTACATTATACAGTACATACTACATACATAGTGATGTACATACATACTGTTAGAAATTAAAATCAATGTTGATATGGCGTAATTTGAATTAAATACACTATTTAATTTAAATCAGTTTTATTCTGAAAAACCTGAAGTTCACTAACTATTAACGTAATACTTTTATTCTGAAAATTCTTCACTTCCGGTTAGCATTAGCATGTGGTGAAATTCTACGTTTTCAAACCGTGAATCAAAGGGGAAATGACATGTGATGTTGTACACTGAGCACACTGGGATTAGCACTCATTTATTGACGCTGAATAACGTTTATTAGGGAATGTTTAAATAACCACAGACACCAGAATGATGTAATTTAGCAACAGAAAAAGACAGGAATTGCATTGGACCCGCCCCCCGACGACACCGGCCAATAGGAGAAGACCTCAGATGACAACAGGAAGAGCAAGCGAATAATTGATCTCTTCTACCTGCTGACCTGGGCCATGACCTGGGCTGACGGGAGATGAGGAGAGCGCTTCCTTTTGCAATTTCATTTGTACACCACTGCATCTTTTGTGTAATTAAATGCTGTTAACTTTTATAAGCTTCCCTTGACTCTTTTCAGTCTCTCCTGCCTTCAGGGAGGTTTCAGATGGTTTAGAACAAAAAGGAGAATATCCGTAAGTGCTAGTATTTTTGCGTCGTTCCGGACTTGAACCGAAACTTTTTACAAGTCCAGTACCGGTTCGGCGTACCGGTACGCAGCACTAATTGTAAGCGTGTAATTATAAAAATCATTCCCTGCTCAGCTGGATGACAGAAACTAAATGACATCAAAACTGTGTGTGTGTATCTCACCCGCATGCTGCTTCTCCAGTTTCATTTATTCTGTGTGTGTGTGTGCATTAGTTGACCTGACTGTGTGTGTGTGCAGGAGAACTTTGAGCTGTACCATGAGACTCTGTACCTGGCTGTGAAGATGGCGGACCACTACCTCTCAAAGACCCCCGTCCACAGGGAGCTGCTGCAGCTGGTCGGCTCCACCACCATGCTCATCGCCTCCAAGTTTGAGGTAAAAACACAGAATACAATACAGATACAAATAATACTTTAAACACACGGGTCCTACGGAAGAGGATTAGGGCCACATGGTTTTTCTTTTTGTTCTGAGAAAAAAGTCAGAATTCTGAGATTTAGGTCGCGTTCACACCAGCCTTGTTTAGTCCGGTTGAATCGAACCCTGGTGCGTTTAGCCGCTTGGTGCGGTTCATTTGGGGCGGTGTGAACGCAGCCCGAGACCTCTGAAGTGAACTCAACAACCGGACTCTGATCCGCTAAAATAAGTGGTCTCGGAGCGCTTGCGTGCGAACTCTGGAGCGGTTCATTGCTGGTGTGAACGCGATCCGTACCCAAACATAGGAAGCGTAGTATTTACGTGTCACAAGAACGCGGATATCTTCAAAAATCTTTAGCGAAAGAGTCTTTCAAGACATCCGCGGTTGTTTAGTTAAAGAGTGAAGCAGAATTAAGTGTTGAACAGTGTCGTGTAAAGTAAAAATTCTCCGTCAACTACATAAAAGTAAGAACACCTGTCGTCGGTGAAACGCCCTCCTTACTGCAGAACGTCTCATTATGTTATAATGTTTTTTAACGGACGTTGTCTGATTATATAATCATATGCGCGGGCCGCTAAAGTCTGTTGATCTCCAGATTAACAGCAGCATGAGAATTACCTGCCGATGCTCCATGGCGGAGGCTCCGGTAGAAATTGCCGGGATTTGTGCTTTTACCCCCTTAATGTCTGACCAATGGTTGAACTGCATTTCCGTGCACATGACTTGTGTTTATAGTCCGTTTGAGTTTTGCCCGTGTGAACGCAAACCTTCTGGAAAATGATGTTTTTTTGTTCTGAGGAAAAAGTCAGAATTCTGACTAATCCTCTTCCGTAGGTCCAGGTCAGTTCACCAAATAACGACACATTACACCTCACTACAAAAGATGCATTAAATTGGAAATATAGATCTTTGGATTCAGTCTTTCCTAAGTTTCCTTTTTTTTGTGTAATCTTCTTTTTCGACTATCATTTATCACAGTGGATATCAAGTATTTACAACAAACGTAAGTAATATATATAAAAAACACTTTATTAAACATGGCCAGTGGGTTTGATTTGATGCTCACGGGTAAGTAAAAGTGGAATCGAAGATGAAATGCCGTTTTTAAATCGAGAAAGTCGAACAGACCATGCTTGCAGAATTGACCACAGGACTTTAAATATCCCAAATACAATGAAGGAGAGAGTTTGCACTTGTTCAATGTTTTATTCTGACCGTCCTGCAGGAGCGCAGTCCGCCGTGCGTCGACGACTTCCTCTACATTTGCGATGACGCGTACAAGAAGGAGGAGCTTATCGCCACGGAGGCCAAGATCCTGCAGGCGCTCTCCTTCGACATCAACATCCCCATCCCGTACCGCTTCCTCAGACGCTATGCCAAGGTGTGTGTGTGGTTTCTGTCTCTTCCAACACCTTGCAGACGGCTAACTGCACTTCCTCAAAAGCCATAGATGCATTACATTGATGCACACACGGCATACAATATCTAGGATTACAACCATATTCAAGATTCAAAGGTTTTACTGTCACATGCTCAAAGCTACAGTGTAGAAATGGCAATTAAATTCTTCTAACCTGAGCTCCTCCAACAATGTAACATGTATAATAAAATAAAAAGTAGTCCAAAAAGTTATACATTCAATGTTAATACTGCTATTTTTTTAATGTTATTATAGTTTTCTTCAAATAGTTTTATATCTGTTTTATTTGATGTATGCACCACGACACCAAGTAAACTTCCTCATATGTGTTCCCTGGAAATTAACATGATTCTGATGGAGCACCTTTTGCTCCTCCTCGCAGTCTCTTGAGGTCTCCCTTCACTACCCGAGTGTGTGTGTTCTCTCTGCAGTGTGTGAGGTCTCCCTTCACTACCCGAGTGTGTGTGTTCTCTCTCTACAGTGTGTTGAGGTCTCCCTTCACTACCCGAGTGTGTGTGTTCTCTCTGCAGTGTGTGAGGTCTCCCTTCACTACCCGAGTGTGTGTGTGTTCTCTCTGCAGTGTGTTGAGGTCTCCCTTCACTACCAGTGTGTGTGTGTGTGTTCTCTCTGCAGTGTGTGAGGTGTCCCTTCACTACCCGAGTGTGTGTGTGTTCTCTCTGCAGTGTGTGAGGTGTCCCTTCACTACCCGAGTGTGTGTGTTCTCTCTGCAGTGTGTGAGGTGTCCCTTCACTAACCTGAGTGTGTGTGTTCTCTCTGCAGTGTGTTGAGGTCTCCCTTCATCCCTTCACTACCAGAGTGTGTGTGTGTGTTCTCTCTGCAGTGTGTGAGGTGTCTCTTCACTACCCGAGTGTGTGTGTGTTCTCTCTGCAGTGTGTGAGGTGTCCCTTCACTAACCTGAGTGTGTGTGTGTTCTCTCTGCAGTGTGTTGAGGTGTCCCTTCACTACCCGAGTGTGTGTGTTCTCTCTGCAGTGTGTTGAGGTCTCCCTTCACTACCCGAGTGTGTGTGTTCTCTCTGCAGTGTGTGAGGTCTCCCTTCACTACCCGAGTGTGTGTGTTCTCTCTCTACAGTGTGTTGAGGTCTCCCTTCACTACCCGAGTGTGTGTGCTCTCTCTCTACAGTGTGTTGAGGTCTCCCTTCACTACCCGAGTGTGTGTGTTCTCTCTCTACAGTGTGTTGAGGTCTCCCTTCACTACCCGAGTGTGTGTGTTCTCTGCAGTGTGTGAGGTCTCCCTTCACTACCCGAGTGTGTGTGTTCTCTCTCTACAGTGTGTTGAGGTCTCCCTTCACTACCCGAGTGTGTGTGTGTGTTCTCTCTGCAGTGTGTGAGGTGTCCCTTCACTAACCTGTGTGTGTGTGTGTGTTCTCTCTGCAGTGTGTTGAGGTCTCCCTTCACTACCCGATTGTGTGTGTTCTCTCTGCAGTGTGTGAGGTCTCCCTTCACTACCCGAGTGTGTGTGTTCTCTCTCTACAGTGTGTTGAGGTCTCCCTTCACTACCCGAGTGTGTGTGTGTTCTCTCTGCAGTGTGTGAGGTGTCCCTTCACTAACCTGAGTGTGTGTGTGTTGAGGTCTCCCTTCACTAACTGTGTGTGTGTTCTCTCTGCAGTGTGTTGAGGTCTCCCTTCACTAACTGTGTGTGTGTTCTCTCTGCAGTGTGTTGAGGTCTCCCTTCACTAACTAACTGAGTGTGTGTGTTCTCTCTCTGCAGTGTGTTGAGGTCTCCCTTCACTAACTGTGTGTGTGTTCTCTCTGCAGTGTGTTGAGGTCTCCCTTCACTAACTAACTGTGTGTGTGTTGTCTCTGCAGTGTGTGAGGTCTCCCTTTACTAACTAACTGAGTGTGTGTGTTCTCTCTCTGCAGTGTGTGAGCGCGGGGATGGACACGCTGACCCTGGCGCGGTTCTTCTGTGAGATGAGTCTGATGGAGATGGATCTGGTGGAGGAGCGCGGCTCGCTGCTCGCCTCCGCCTGCCTGCTGCTGGCGCTCATCTCCAAAGACCTGGGAGGATGGGTAGGTTCATTAAAACACTTTAAATTATTATATATATATTCATCTGTTTGTCCCCCTTCAAACACGTCTTTATATCAGAATCAGAACACTTGTCCCACAGAGAGGAAAGGCCAAAGACAGATTACTGTGAACTAAGAAGCATGCATAACGAATATTAAAGATACAACAAATGTTATTACAAAATACACATACTATTAGGGCTGGGCCATTTGGCCTAAAAATAAAATCAAGATTTTTTTTTCTCTAACTAATGGACAATTTTCGATTTAAACCTCGATTTTTTTTCTGTTTTTTTCTAAACAAACCAAGGCAAGATTTAAATACATATTTTCTTTATTAACACAATAAAAATAAATGAGATTACCAAGTAGTCTAGGCCTATGTGAACAAATCAGTTGTTCAAGAATAAAATAAAAACAGCACCACGGCACTTGGCTGTCATTAATGTGCAAAGATTTTTTTTAAATCAAACTGAAAAAAAATCTCTTGTAGGCCATCCCTGAAAAAACTTGTAAAATGAAATACAACAAATAATAAATAATGATAATGAAATGAATAATAAAAAAATACCCTCAAACAAAATAACATCCCTTTAACTTTCTAGGAAGTTGTCTACAGGTTTTTCGCGAGGAAGACAAGCCCGTCTACTGCCTCTGGCTTGAGGCATGCTCTTTGGCATGTTACAATGTTACCCCCGTACTGAAAACCCTCTCCGAAGGGGCACTTGTGGCAGGAATGGAGAGATATTTCTTGGCCAGATTACTCAGTCTTGGGAAGTTAGCTTCATGTAGCTTCCACCACTGCAGTGGGTCTGTATCAGGGTCTGTCTCAGACGATGACAGCTCAGCTTCAATTTTGTCCTGCTCTGACTGGGAGGTAAACGACACTGTCAGTGTCGTTTGTTTACAGACCTGGGTAGCATGAGACAACATCCGGAACTACCGGAAATGAAACCAGCCGTGAAGTATTTCCTGTATTTTTTGGAGTATTGATTACAGCGTTCAAAACCATATTAAATGAAAAGTCATGAAAGAGATAAGGAGGAGAACAGACGTGTTTAGTTATATATTTAATGTACAATGTCGGAGTCCTCTGTTATGCTCAACAACGAACATTGGAGACGTGGAGGGCCGGCCCCCAGCAGCGCCAACCGGCACATAGGGAGGAGCCAGCGGAGGAGATATAACTGCTAGAGAGGTGGAGCTCGCTCTCTTCCCTTCGCTCACCCAGAACACAGCTGTTGTTCTGACTGAACAACATCCTGCTTGTAACATACCCGCGCCTTTTTTAATTAAAGCACCATTTGAACCTTCTCAGAGACTCCATTTAGTCTCCTTTTAAAGCTTCTCTCCTGGACGCGAGAATAACGAACACAGCAGATCGGGCAGAGCTGCAGATCGGGTAGTCACAGGCAATGTGGCTGAGTTTTGTGCGCGTTGTGGAAAGTGAGAGAGTAAGCTACTACGGAGTCCCTTAAAGCAAAACAAATCTGCGGAGTCTAGACATTTTTTTAATCGCGATTTTTCGGTTCAGCCATTTCACAAACCGTAGGAAAGTCAAAATGCAAATTAATCGTTAAAAATCGCCCAGCCCTACATACTATGTTGGATTGTTTATTGATTTAGGGACAACTTGGTTACAGATTTATAGTAATAATAAGCATTAAGGAAAACTCATTAAAATGGCTTCGTAAGTAGTTTATATTTAGCTTTGTAGTTACGTCGGTGTGGTAAGAGCACAAAAGGATATTTGACTTAATGATTTAGTTCCTGTTCATTTATCGTTTAAAGGCTTTTTATATTTGCTCAAACTGAAACACTTCCTGATGTCGTTAAAAAGTTAACGTGCAACTTTGTCACTGTCTATATTCCCGCTCTGAAGAGAACAATCCTCTGTTCAATTTAAATGCAAATAGTTGTCCATGTGAGTTATCGTTGCATTTCATTTGGTTCCTGCGCTGACTTTAGAATCGGCTCTAATAAAGGAAACCTATTGAAGAACTATCAACTACTAAAGATATGTTTGGAGCTTTAATAATCCAACATGGCTACCTACTGACGTGTCTCTCGTCTCTGCAGTGTCCCACCCTGCAGTTCCACTCCGGGTATCAGACGACAGACTTGGCGCCCGTCGTCAGGAAACTCTACGAGATGCTTTTAGCTCCTGCGGACGATAAACTGCGAGCCATCAGGAACAAATACTCACACAAGTACGTTGAAAGAAACCAGCACATGTGTAAAAAAGTGATGACATGCTTTAGATTTAAATGTGTTTCTTTGCCATGTGATCTGTTCTGTATCTATGACTGATTGACCTGATTGTTTTATGTGTATTATCTCGATGCCCAAGACACATTTCTCCTAAGGGAGACAATAAAGCTTTATCTTATCTTAAATTAATGCGATCATTAATCCATTCTTTCTTTTTCTCAGGGTGTTTTTCGAAGTTGCATCCTTACCTTTGGTCGACGCCGACATCCTGGAGAAAGCTTTATCTCAGTGAGACGTCGCCTACTACAAAAATAAAATCTTGCCAGTGAGTGAAAGTATTTTTAAAAAAAGTTCCCTCCAACCCTGTACATAGTTGTTAATATGTGGAATATTTATATGTGTCGTCTAGCCTGTCTTTTATATTATATTTTAAATAAATGTAGTCCTCCTGTGGGCATTTGTTAAGGGTTGCCAGTGTACGATGTTAAGGTTGTTAATAATGGCATTTTAAGCACTTAATTCCAGTCGTTTTGGCATTCATTTTATAGCTTTTTATAAGAAGAGAAAAGAAAAACAGCCATTTTTGTGTGTCGTTTGAAAAGTTTTAAGATAATGGTAGAGTTGAGAGGATTCGAAACCTGCCTGCGTGTTTTTACAAGTGTTCCTACGTTGTTATAGTTGGCAGGTATGTTTCTTTCCATACGTTGTACAGTGTTTATCATGTTTATATCCCTATGCTAATTATTATTTGTATAAAAGACGACCGGATGATGCTGTGCTATTGTTAAATGGCTGTCAATCCGCACTCTTAAAATAAAGACATTGTTTTTTTTATCGGTTTGATAAAACGGCTGGATTTTTCTTATTCAATTAAATCATTTCTTGTCTTGATGTAAGAGTGTCTTTAACATGTGATGGGTGTGATACTGGTGTGTGGCCACCAGAGGTCAATAATGCACCGTGTTCCTCACTGATTCATCTCCAAATTCACACTTGAAATATTTATACCATCGGATCATTATCTCTTCAAATTCTCTTGTTGTTCTGCTGAAGCCGTGTTGGACTTTCGTTAATACTGTGACCTGATCCCTCTGCTGTCCTGAAGCTTTACCTTTTAAAAACATAGAATAGTTGGAAGTAAAAGTCTTAAAGGGCCCATGTCATGCTTTTCCGGTTATTACCCATCCCCTTGTTGTTATGAAGGTTGTTCTGCATGTAATCGGTCTGCAGAGTCACAAACCCTCAAAGTACACCCTGTAGCGAGTACAACTCTAACACAGAAGACCTGTCTGTGCTGCCCCAGAACGCCTCGTTGGACATTTCTCTTTTTCCATTGTTTACTTCCTGGGTTCTGTGACGTGTGAACACCCAGATCAACAACAAATGACCGGATTGGCCCAAATGGACCAATCTGCGGAGCACCTCACACACCAGGACCCAGGGACGTGCACAGGTACGGGCTATTGTTGCCCTTTTTGGCTGACCTGCTCCTCTGGAGAGAGCGAGAGTTTTTCTTTTCTGTTGTGGTCGAATCAACATGATAAGCCCACAATTAGTATTGTAGTGTCTCGCTGCGGGAAACACCAGCTTCATTCTTTTTCTTCTTCTTCTTACATGTAATTGCCCGCATGGTAAACTCCCTCGACGGGGCCGCTCGCTCTCTTCTCTTGATCGCCCTCTCACAGGAGAACACTTCACTGCTCGGTTCATTGTAGGATTTCTGCCATGTCTCTACTTTAATTTGACCATCTCTGTTATTATGTTATGGAATACTAAATAAATAGTTGATTATATACCGTACCGTTACTGTGCTCACAAAGAATGATAAGAATAATGCGTATTGAACTGGTTTAATTAATTGGTGAGTTTATTTAAGATAATTATAGGAGCCCTATTTTATCAGAATGTCTGCAAAGGTCAAACTACATTGAATTTTCTCCATTTTTTCTTTAGTAGTTTCTAACATTAGATATTTTAATGATTTAAAAAATGTCCCTGGTTTTCGTTTAAAAAAAATCAAGTCACCGAATGCAAGTAGTTGCTTTAGCTTATTTTGTTATGAGATGATGATGTGAATTACTGTTCAAATTAGTTAATGTAATAATCGTTTTGGTCTTATATTTGTTTTCGGGGGGGAGGCCCTTTTTCCAGTTTAGAGCAATAGCCCCTCCAAATGTCTCTGCACGTCCCTGCCAGGATCCCTTGGCTAACTAACAGGGAGTCCCCATTGACTTGCATAGAGCTCCCTGAACGCTGGTAATGGACTAGTTGGGATCACGGAGAAATGCTCTCCGCAGACCCATTCTCACAGCGTTACAAACCTTTTTCTTTCTCGATATCAAGCCACACTTATTGTTTTTACTTCGGCTGTGAGTGTTTGTGTGTGCTCAGGATGAGTTTCGCTTGTTCTCGCTGTATCGCCGACCCGGAAACCTGTCCGCTCCTCGCAGCAACGAGCCTCGCAACGTCCCGACCAATCAGAGCACACTGGGCTCACAGGGAGGGGGGGGCGGAGCTCCAACAAGCCTTTAGGACAGAGAGTGAATACACAGACTATACAGAGATGCTGTGAGAAACCAATGTGAGTTTGGAACATTGAACAATGTAAATCTATTGTAGTAGACCTCAACAATGGAATTATGATCAGTAGAAATGGCCATGACATGGGACCTTTAACTTAAAGACCACTATAATCTAATTTGACCTTGAGTTAAGGACTGTAGGTTAAGATTAAATGTAGAATGAATAAGATCCCTGCATTTTGTTCAGTTCTGAATGACTTGATAAAAAACGACATGCTTAATCCTTGTTGTGGATCTCAAATAGTGTGTTTACTATCGACTTATTGATCCTGTCACTTTTCATGTCTTATCAGGGGTTTCCAATGTTTTAAAAGGGCCTTCTCACAGGAGGCTCAACAAATGGAATTGAAATATTACTATTTTGATTACATCTTAAATATTCTAATCACATAAAATAGCCTAAGTGTGTTTAATTGGGTAACGTGAAACTGCAGAGATACAGAGGTTTAGGATTTACTTTTTTGCCACTTAGTGCAAGTTAGAAACAAATACATGCCTTAGGTCAGACTCTTATTAAATGTACTTCTGAGCTAAGGTTGAATGGCAATATTGAATCATTTGATGAGTGTTTACAGGATCAAACTATAACCATGATCCAAAGGCATCCATGAATTGTTAAAAATTAGCAGTTAAACTAAGGTCTGTGTTAAATATGTGCCTTAACATCCTGTGGTGCTTTTACAGAATTAAAAGGGACATTTGTTTTGAGGCAAGACAGACCAAACAAGACAGACCAAAACTTTGATCTACTCCTACTGGAAGTCAAACTTTCTCTTGAGGCTTACCCTCTAAAATCCTCAGACGTTGCTAACTCCTCTTCACAGATTTGTTCAGATCAATAAGTTGACCAGATGACAGCTCTGATTCCTGAATCCTCCTCCTGCTGCCTGTCCACAGAAACAGCCTGAGAGTCAGGGAGAGATGGGGACATTGATTTTGTGTCATCAGATTAAACTGCGACACATTGCTTAAAGTTTCACTTTTACCAGCACAAAGTATACCTCGGAGAGCAGACATTCTGTCGACTCAAATTTCCCCCCAACCTCCCACCTCCTATATTTCCCAGAACGACTTTCAACAGTGAATTCAACACTTACATGGTTTTGCATTGAGCTAAGAATTGTACGTCTATGTGGCCACGATGGATAAGCTTTGTATACCTGCTGAAAAACATCCTGACATTGCATTGATGTCAACTCAACTGTTAAAGTAGCAAGACTTGCTTTTAAATTAATAACTGTTTCCAACTGTTCGGGAAGTGCTTGTTAATTAAGCTAATAATTCAAATACAATAACATTTGGGCCCATCTGGTTTCTTTCCTAGCCATTGTGAAGGTTTTTAGGTCATTTTTACTTTCACGAAATGTCTCCTTTAACACTGAAAGCTCTGAAGAAATTCAGGTTTACTTATTTACCTGCACAGATGTTCAGAAAACTAGCGAACATCTGGACCATGTCTCTAAAATGTAGCGTATTACCCTTTTTAAAGTGAATCCCCAGAAACATGGATGAGATGTATATAAAAAACTATGAATAGGTGGAAGTAGAACATATATAGTGACCCTGACTCTGAGAATATGAGCTGCCCACGACATAGACTCACTGTTGTTAGTACACACACACACACACACACACACACACACACACACACACACACACACACGCACACAAAGGCACACAGATGGATCCATGCCAAATCAATTCACTGGCCATCATCTCGCACAAACACCCCTCTGCTGCGCCTGGAGACTTCTGAGCCCATTCTTGCTCTGTTATTCACTCGGTCAATTAAAGTGATTGATTGGCTGCAGTGTGTGTGTGTGTGTGTGTGTGTGTGTGTGTGTGTGTGTGTGTGTGTGTGTGTGTGTGTGTGTGTGTGTGTGTGAGTGAGTTTCTCAGTTCATTCAGAGCTACACATCCTAATAACTCAGTCTGATTAAAGTGTGCTGGTGGAGATAGTGCCCATTCAGTCCAGGCAGATACGGATCAGAACTGGAGTTGCAATGCTGCGTATGAACTATTGATCAGCGGCATGCTGGGAAAGATGTTTCCATTTCACTCTGTGAGCTTCAGTTCTCACTACTGAGGTGCAGCTGCTGCTCAACACGTCTGAACTCAGAATAAAGAGTTTGTTTGGGGGGATTTTCCATTTGTTCCAATTACTTCACAGTCACATGAAGGCTTGCAAGTCTTTCCAAGTCCCTGCAATGCACTTTTGAAGCAGTTACTTGTGCCAGTTTATTTCAAATGAGCTCAGATGTATACTATTATGGTTCAGACTTCATGCAGAGTCATGAGTGTGTGGCTGGATCCACAATAACAAGAAACTTGTTCTGACATTCAAATGATGTCTTTCCCACTTATGGGTCTTTCTGTTGAAGTAAGCAATCAGAAAAGTGGATTTACACATCAGCACCGATCAACACTCATACTGAAGTTGGCTCAATCATTTAGAGTGAGACATATTTCTTAATTACTTGCAGCAATGGAGATCAAGGGTGGAAGTAAGGACTGTAACTAAATTAAATAATTGTACCTGTACTTTCTAATAGGCTATTGTTCTTCAATACATTTAAGGTTGTGAAGTAAAGGTATTTGTCTTATTACAACATGGCTGTGGCCCCTTCCTGTTACACAAACGTAACATACTCTTTATAGAAAATAAAAAAATCGAATAAAAATAAAAACAGAATAGAATAATATTTAAAATACTTGTAATATTAAAATGAGAATTAACTAGCATAAAATGAGAGGATGCATCCATATGAATACAAATCAAAGTCATGATTAAATGTGAGAAAGGAGCTGCGTCAGAGCAGAAGCTGCAGGTGTGTCCTGCCAACCCAGTCTCACGGCATTTCGTGTTCACCAACACGATTTTTAATCTATTGATTCGTGTTCACCAACACGATTTTCCCCTTTTTTTCGTGTTGCACGATTTTAAAAGCAATGTATTTCTACTGGTAATGTGTTTCGTGCCTGCAACACGTATTTTTGTCCGGTCGGGTCGTGGAAGACCGGAAGCTGTGTGGTTCATAAAAACATGTTCTTACTCAATATCAAGCCACAATTATTGCTTTTATTTTAAATCGTATAATTTCGGACTTTTGTTGCCGTCTGTGAGGAAAATAAATGGGGCTCAGAGCCTCAGGATACTGAAATCTGTATTTTTAAAATCTTTTTTTCCTTCTAATTTGTTATTCTTTTCAAAATAACACACTGTTATTTACACACCAATAACACACAATTATC